GCGGGAAAATGTTTTTATGTTCACAATGGGGGAAAGGTTTACTATCGAAAATCAAGACGTGTTTCTTGACAAATGTATTGTACTAATTTCCAAACAAATTTAATTCATTACGTTATTAAAATATAAAACTATTTTTTAACCATGTATTTTTTTATTGGAAGAATTTATGAGGATCTTCAGACGAGTTTCATTCAGCGCCATATTGCCAGGCTGCATATGTAATATTAAGAATTTTTTTTTTCTTTTTTTTTCATCATACTCCCTCTTTGGTGATTTCGAAGTTCTGTATATATGCTCCTTGTTGCAATCTTGCAGAAGTCAAAAGTTTTCCCCTCTACATTTTCTTTTTGGTTCATATATACTATGAATTGTGATTCGTAATACACAAATAATGGATTCCTGGATAGACCATCGAGACAGATAAATGAAGTATACTTGAAATATGAGAGTGGGTTTGCGTGTTCCTGCCGGATGTCACCCTACTCTTGTAACATAATTCATATGAGCATGGGGAGAAAATATTCCCCCTACTCGAGTCGCATCCCCTTTTGCGTACTGACAAGTCGAGCAGTCATTTCCTTTTTCTCGCCCTGCGCTCCCCCCCCCCCGCTCCACGTGCCTTTTTACGTTGCCCCGTTCGCTCCGGTCGCGATCTTCCATTAGTGAAACGTCTCGGTGTGTCATTGCGCCATCAGCGCATGCAACTGCCGCGCCGGCTGCGTTCCTTGCACCTGTGGCCCGAGAGGCATAGTATGTCTGAGCGAGCGCCAGCCCTTTTCGAATTCCCTCGCCCTTTCCTCCGACTGCCTGTGCGCTCCCCCTCTCTCTTCCCCGCTTTCCACCCCGCCCCCTTTCGTCATCACGCTTCAGTAACACTATGATCGGGGAAGGCTCCGCGCGCCGGTTTCCCTCTCGAGCACTCCCATCGCATTCGTTTTCCCTCCGCGCTTTTATCTCTGGCATTTTTTCCCTCGCTTCCTTTCATCCTTCTTTTCTGCTCTCAAGGAGAGGGAACGCTTGTGCAATCACCCCGTGCGTCTGTCTACAAATGTCCCGACGGCAAGATTAGTTTTCCTGCGTAATATTCTGATGTTCATGCTACATCCCATTCGGTGGCAATTTGGGAAAGGTTTGTGGCTCGTTTGCGAAAGGTGCGACCATCAAAACTTATCTTCCTAAAAGGCTTGAGCCTTACGTTCGTGATGTAGCCTCCTCAGGTCCCCTTGCGATTTATGAACTGTAACTTGGCGTGACTAATCATTGACCCTTTACTTTTGTGGCTACGCGGAAAACTTTTTTCGAGTCTGAAATCTTCGCGAGTTATTTTGACCCTATGCGAACTGCAAGAATATTTGACATTTTAAGAATGTCCGCCATTATTTACAATCTACCTACAACTTTGTTCATAAATCGTGACGCACATTTTTATAACAGTTCAGAATAAAGTTTTAAATGTTTTGTCTTATGTTGCGAACATGTAAATCGATGTGAGGGCTTAAGTTAAAAGGAAAGATAAAGACTGACATTTTAATTGGTTTTTGTAAAAAGAAATTGAATGAACAATAACATTGTTTCAAATATCTATGTTACTGTTTTAACATTTTATCAGTGGTCAACGAAGGAAAACTAAAAAGTAAAAAAGAAAAATATTTTAACTTTGTTGCAGATACTATATTAAAACTAACCAACTAATCGAAAACTATGAGACCTGGATTCAATTCCCGGGTGGGGGCAACTAATGCTTTGAACAGTTAGAATTATTTATCATACACTACGAAAACTCCACACACATTCAACTCTTGTATCATTCAGTAAATTTTCACACAACTTTTCGTGTGAAGATAATTAATACATCGCGGGGTGGTAATTGAAATGCGTAGTCTCTGTGCCTTTCCAGCGTATAAAGACGTGATAGCAGTACATCTTCCAGACGTAACTCCTCCCCTACAATTTGAACGCCTTCTTGGTCTCGTTGTGTCACGGATTTTCGTATTGTGCTACACTGAGCCCACGCCCTTGGATACACACTCGCTGTCATTTTCTTTCAAAAGACATCTGTGATCAAGATGTAACAAATTAAAACTTGTTTGCGTTTCCATCATGCATTTTGTCGCCGGGGACGTATAACGAGTCGGACACAGCAAACCCAACAGCGGCCTTCGGATAACGAATACGATTGTCAGGTTCTTTAAATAGTTAAACACGGGCGGAGCCGGCCGCTACAGGGTCATGCGAGGGGTGCATTGCCGTCCATTTTTAATGAGACGGACGGCACGGAGATAGGGTTACGTGCCGTCGCCCCGCTCGTTTATCAGCGCGCGCGCTGGGCGATGGACGGCGGGGCGGGGCGGCGGCGCGCCATTCAAGAGGGCGGTGCATAGCCGTTATCTCGCAGAGCGCGCGCGCGCGCCCATAACTCTCGGCCTTAAGTTGGCCGATTCTTTTCCCGAGTATTTGTCGTGCGTTCGAGCAGCCGCATAAATCTTCATAAGCGTCCGCTCTTCCCCGCCCCCGACGGCTGGCTGTCCGGTCGGCGGGTGATCGCGACCGCCTCCGCCGTCGACACCCCCTCCCCGGCGCCCCCCTCCCCTCGCAGCGTTGTCACGGTCCTGCTGGGCCTCGACGGCGCCTGCAACTGCCTCTCGGTGTTATCGCTCCTGTAAAGCCTTCTGCGCTGCTGGAAAAAGACCGTACGCGCTGTACCGTTTTACTCGGGGCGCAGCTGCGTTCACTGTTATCATTACGGTCGCTACTGTGTTGTTTTCTGCCGGCCACTCACCCACCCTAAAGTTTCATCGTTGTTACTTTTGGTATTCGTGCTACAATCTTCACCATTCATAAAGTTGAATTTCATGATATCATTAGTTAGTGTATCACTTTTTCCCCCTGTTCATAGATTTGTTCATAGTTTTAAAGTCTTTAATGTCTTCCCATTTTGAATATCGTCTCACTGCTACTATAAACACGATTATAACCATCTCCGCTTTTCCGGCACCCTTCTCCTGTTCTCCACCGCCTCCCTCGTAGTCTTGCTGGGCCGCCGTCAACTCCTCTCTCCCAGCTCTCTGTTGTCGCCGCCATCACCACCATCGCCTCGGCGGCCGCCGCTGTCACCGCCGCGACCCCGATACTTCACAACACAATCACAACTAATGGACTCGTACTGCGCATTGCTGCTGCATCCCCCGCGTTGTGAGTCACGCGCCTATTGAACGGGGAGGTTCCGAATTAGGCGGGGCAAGGCTAGCCTCAGCCGAAGCCCGCCTCGGCGCGCGGCCCCCGGCTTCCCCCTGTCCCCCCGCGCCGCTGGGCCCAGGCGCTCGGCCCCCGCATCGCCCCCGCCCCCGCCGCGGCCTGCGCGGCTCAGCGCGCCGCGTGTTGCCATATGTTACGAGCAGGCGGCGCGGGATCCCCAGGCCTCTCGAGTATTCGCCCGGGAGGGAGCAGCGCCCCCGTCGCCCCGACGTGGAAGAGCGCGCCGCTAATGCTCGCCGGGAACTTCAGTTAGTTTTCTCGGCCGCCCTTGAGTTTCGACGCTTAAGACGCAGTAACGAGGGAAATCCCGTGCTCTCGAGAAAAGCCTGCCGAGGTATTAATGTGGATCTATAATGGGATGAGCGGGAAAGCTCTCTGTTTTGTTTGGGAACTTTTACGGCTTAATAAGTGTTTATGCTTTTCGAGTGAGGTAGTTGACGGGTGCGGTATTCAATATTTCAGGAGCTTCCACTAAATCATTAGCCGTTCGTCTGGCGTTGCTCCTCGGATGCTAATGCACTGTTGAGCGGTTGCAAGCGCCTATTACTTCCCGCCGCAACTTGATTTTTCTTATATATAATGAATGATCTTTAGAGTGTGATTATGTCGTTCCAGGGCATTGATTTTTACAAGATTATCGATTGGTTTTTGTATCAACCTTGTAGATTTCAATGCAGTTCATGTGCCTACGACGTTGTTAAGCGCGGGAAATTCTCAAAAATTATGACATTACTAGTACTTATTTCTTGCATACATATCGATTGCGTCTTGTGTTGCGAATTAAATCTGTTTTCTTTCATTTTCAAAGTATACTTTTTAAACCTTTTTTAGGTGTTTTTTAATATTGCAATGTGCATTTGCTTTCACGAATGTTTTTAGTACATTGGGCACCTTAATAGAAATAGCAGAAATTTTGAATTCAAACGGAGGTTAATTCTGGACTCTAAACTTTGCACTATCGCGTAACACGTTACGTATTATTATAGTGGAAATGATAATACGTTTTTGAGTTCAGCTGTTACTATGCGGTTCATACACTTGTATTGTTTCATTTATCCACGAGATACGCACGTAAGCTCCATGACTAATCCAACCTTTTCTTCCTCTTCCAGAAACTGCAAACGATCGGTGAAGACTTCTGCGGCCTGGACGTGAACACGCCGCTTGGGGGAGAAAATCCCATGGCGGCCGTGCCCGTGCTGGAGTTCGGCACGCATCTCACAGCCGTGGCCGCTACTTCCACCGGCGACTACACCGTCGTCTTCCTGGGCACTTCCACCGGCCACCTCAAGAAGGTAGGATTGCCACTGACGCTGCCAAACGAAGCGTTGAGAAGTACTTGCCATCCTATGAAACGGTCTTCGAGGAGAAGTAATGCTAGTGTTCAGTTGGTGTGGTTCTCCTGAGTGGCTGGAAGGGGGGGAAATCCCCCGGACGGGGTACTTTTTTTTTAGGTTTCCCTTTTTAACGTCTTTTTACTAGTTCATCGAATTAATGGAGGGATCATTGGCTCCTTTTAAAACGATTCTATGGCAGCCTACGTTGTATTTATTTACACCCAACTATTCAATTACATTTCAATTATAAGGGTGAGAGCGAGTTCTCCTCATATGTGCCGATTTTATGGTATATTAAGTTCACCGCTATCTGACGCATAAACACCAGATGATCTCAAAAAAGAACATGTACGACTACTACTCAAGTAAAAATAGAAGACATTTCTCATGCTCATTTTAGACACAAAGTTGTTTCTGTAAATAATAGAAGTATTAAGAGAACCAGGGCCCCCCTCGAAGATTTATTGAAAAATATTTACAAAGTATTACTTTAAATATATTACAGTAAATTACTACTGAGAGGCAATAATTCTCCCATTCACAAATTCCATATGTTACTAGCAACCACATAAATTAACGGTATTGAATGGTGACAATGTTCACTAAAGCGCCAAGCCAAAAGAGGGTGAAATTTCTTGATTAAGAATTTTCAGATACTGTTACTCTTCCCAATGTTCTGACTGTGGGAATCGAGAAAACAGACTAAATGTTTTCGAAAAATAATAATAATAATAATAATAATAATAATAATAATAATAATAATAATAATAATAATAATAAATACTGCGCACGGAAGTCCACAGGCTGTATCCGTTCGTTAAGGAACTCCGGCTCTCTGGTGCGTAATTTAATTAGTCGAAGGCTCGGGTTCTTTTATCCTTTGTCATAATGAATTTTGAGAGCCATTGCGTGTCGGCACTTCCAAGGCAACGTAATTCCCCTGCGGAATCGGGCCGAGGGACTATTAAACAAAGCGAAAGTGTAGCGTGATCGTAAACGTCCCTTCGGTGACGGTACCGCTCTGCCGTGTCTTCCGTCCCGGAGGTCGACGTGACTTTCGAAACTCCATCATGAGAAGCGAATGCCCTTTATTCGCTCCGAATGACCGGCGCGCGGGTAATCCCGATTCAGACTGCTGGTCTATTATTATTTTCTTGTGAAAAGCCAATTCCGGCCTGGCTCTGTGTATCACATCCTTCACCCCTCCCCCAATTCCTCTTATTTTAATGGAGATTCAGAAGTAGTGTTGGACGGTGTATTAACAGACACTCAAGTATTCTGAGATAATATGTGAACTTTCGGGATTGTTAAATTAGAAATAAGCATCTGAAATTAGAAAAAAATCTTGGAATTCCCTATTCACTTTTTTTCTTAGTAGTAATTTTCAGTGATGGCCACTTCGTGAGGATGCTAAATTGGACGATATTCTATGGCTATTCGATGTACTATATTATCCCCCAAAAGTTATTTAACACACTTCATACGATTGATCTTCCAGAAACGCAAACTGAATGCAGGTTTCTGAATGCAGGCACTAAAATGAATAGGTTCCTTTAACTGCTCAGCTAGTTACATTTCTTTTGTCACGGCGTTTTATGCGTTTGATACACTAAAGGAATACGATCCAACAAAAACGGTAACATCGAATTGTCGGCAATATTTCATATAAAATTCACTTAACTCTGCAATTTGAGTGAATTCGTCTCAAAATTTTATGCTTCGCTGTTTTAATATTTTGCGCGAATTACATCCGCCGTTTATGTCGTAAGAATCTATTTCGTAGCGCAGGGTGAAGCATTCATGAATCACAATCGGTGGGTACCTCGTAAGGCGGCGAGGCTCCGACTTTGTAATATGAATGTTTCAATTTCACAGTCTGGTAACTTCCATTTCGCCATCGCCTGCTCTTTATATGAGGACCTCTCCGGCGAGGTTCGTAGGGGGAGCTCTGTAATTTGAGCGAATACGCCAATATGCCGATGAGCGCGCGTGATATAGATTACGTCGGCGCGGCGCGGCGCGTTCCATTGCGCGCTAACCTAACCACCTTTGTGACCTACGCAGTCTCCAGACAAATCTCGTCCGAATGGGCTCCTGAGTTATGTGCGAAGTGGGACTCGTCGCGTCCTCGGTCTGCGCCGCTCAGCCCTCCCCCTCACCCTCACCCGCGCTCCACGCCACGCCGCCCCCTCGTTCTCCCCCCTCCATTCCTCGCCCTCCAGCGAACTCCTTAAACATCCTGAGCGACCCTCGCCGCCCTACCGTCACCGATGTCTCACACGCCGCCATGCCAACTGAATCTCCCCCCGTCCCTTCTCCATTTGCTTTGCCATTCGTCTCCGTTGCTTCCGTTAGTGCGTCTCCCCACATTCGTCGCCGAGGCTAGGCGTTGCGACTCTCTCGGTCGCGTCCGGCCACGGAATCCGCTGTCCCGCACGCTTTTCATGTCTCTCCTTCAGGTGGCGTGTGCCAAAGCTATGGCGTTTCCATAGCTCAGATTGGCATGTAATTCTTTTATGGTCGTGGCAGATGGCATCACTGTTGAACTTGACTCGCCTCATTGTTTTACCCAAGCAATGTTAGTAAAGAGTACCTTATTTCTTCACGCATCTTCCTATCCGCTAGTCCCTTCTCCATTTATCTCCAGGTGTCCAACAGGACCAAACCACTTTTCGGTAACTTACTAGCACCCATTCGATAGACTCAACTCCGCCGCCTCTCCAAACTCATGTCCTTGATAACAATTGCAAAATTGTCCACCATCACTATTGCATCTCGCGCCATGTCGCTTGCTGTGCTTCGCCACATCCCTTGGCCACGCACCGCACCCGCCTCGGCGAGCCGCCCGCGCCCCGATCGGGCCAAGCATCCGGGCTACTGCGCCTGGCGCCTCACGCTCCGGCCGGTTGAACGCGCAGCCGCGTCAGATACGCCATGCGCACAGTCGTCCGGGTGCCGGCTGGCGGCGAAGGGCGCGGTCGTCCGTCTCTCCTGCGAGCGCACTCGACGGGCCGCCGCCACCCTCCGCACACCGCCGCCACAAGAACGCGCCGAATTTGCCTCCGACTTCCCGCGCTCTCCTCTCGGAGGCCTTGTGCGCCGCCCCACGCACCTGCCGCTTGTTGCTGAGAGGCGAACCCGGTACTGGCATTTGAGATATGCAAATACATGCGCTTAAAGCTCGGCCGCGCCACCTCGAGAATGTCGGCCGACGGTTTCGTAAGAAACGTTGCGGTTGAGAGCTGCATCTGCGGCGGGGGCGGGGGTGGAGACGGTGGCGGTGGCGGAGGCGGTGGCGGTGAGGGTAGCGGTGACTGCGACGGTTTTGGTAGTGAGGAGATGCTTCTGTCTCCCAGGAACCCACAGACGAGAGGAAATGCAGGAGAAAATATAGGACAAGCGGATACACTTGCCATTCCCAGAAATATATTTTTATTCCCGTTTTGCACGATTGTGCTGCGTTAAGGAATGTGTGCTATTGCGTCGTTCCTGAATACCATCCACCGTCCAAATAAGCGCCGCAAAACGATTTCTGTACGTTCGGAATACCCAACAATGCCCTTTTGGGCACTTTTAAATTCTTAAGTGCGTTTGATTTGCAATAGAGGTTCTTGTGCATTTTTCAGCTTCAGAAATCACGCACCCATTATTCATTGTCAGTTTTTGGCCATTAGTCGGTTGTAATTCAATTAGTGTTTTTACGTAACACCCGCAAACACACTAGCTCTCCTCCGTAGATTATTCGAGGTGTTCTCTATCAGAATAATTGTGAAATGTTACTCACTGTCGTTTTCAGTTTGGGCTTCAGAGGCCACAATTACTCAGTGTCTGCCTTGTACTCGTATTAACCTCTTTCCTCCACTTCTCCTTCATTGCTTTCTCGCATTCTGCCCCATGCTTTATTTGATAAATCCCTTCTCATTACTTTTCATTTCCTTTCTCGCCTCTTTACCGCTGACTCCTCCGCAGTGTATTCCGACGATGCGTGTTCCCGAACACTTCCTGTGATTATTTCTCTTCCATGCTCTGTGACATTCTGGCGACCGCCCGTGCCGTCGTCGTGGGCGCGGCGGGGCCATCCCCGGCGCTGCGCCTGCCGCTCATCGACAGCACACTGCCGCGCAGCGCCGCTTGTCAGAAACATTTAAAGCGGCCGGGCAAAAGGCAAGAAAGCGGCGCTGTGGTGGGCGCAGGGCGGGGCCCGCACGCGACGCCGCTTGCCGTTGCTTTTGCCCTTTTGGGACGCTACATCGCTCTCGCCCTCCCATTCGTTTACATTGCGATTGGTGTCGTATATCTGTTTTCTGCGCGTTTATTTGCTCAGTGGGGGAGATTTGATGCATCTACTTTCCATTCCACCAAAGACGAGTTTGAAGACGATATGTGATTTTAGTTTGAAATAAATTAATTTCATCAATTAAATAAAGACTGAATATATTTGAAACGGATTCTTATAGAATTTTAGCCCAGTTTACTTACGTTTCGCTAATTAAATAGTTGATAGTTTTCGTTGATAAATCATCTTCATATTGACATCTAGATAATGAATGTGGAATGCTTGTAATGAGTTAGTTCGCAATTTAAATACTTGCACATTGCAGTACTTTCGCTTTCCTGCGCATTATTGTTTTGATATCAAATTTGTCACGATACACAACACATTCATACCACATACTAATAGAAAATTCCGGCGCATTACGATTTTTTTAAATGTGTAGTGTGATAACTGTTTTTTGTAATATGCGGAAACTAATATCGATAAATATCAAACAATTTTACCAGTGTTTGCACTTCTAAAATACACAATAGTTGTTGCACTTCGTGGAAACGCTCACTCTGAGTTTGTAGCATGACTCGTGTTGGTTTGCATTTTACTGCCTCATTGATTGCACCGTGTATATTATTTGGGAACGATTCTGGACAACTCGCGGACGCATTCTGTTTCTAGTTTACTGTTATGTGGCCGGTTCACAATTACTTGGAATTGGATTATTGTGTGCGGCACCTGCACCATGACGTCATAGGAATTGCAGAAATGTTCTATGCGGTATCAAATGAGAACAGCGTGAACAGGGTAAAAATGTGTTATTTTCTCATTGTGCATTCGCATTAACACATGTTTTGTCATTTGAGAGTCGTAAAAGCACTGAACCGCGCAACTCTTGAAATAAATGGCTCGGCTTTCACATGAGTGTAGGATAAGTCATTTATCTTAACACATGCGCACTCGGTCAAGTATGAGAATGTGAATCGAAAATACCAAATGTTTCTGATTGTTGTTCAGTTTATAATTTGCCTAATGTTGCGTATATGAACAAACTACATAGAAACAGAACAAAGCAAGAAAAATGATCGTTGAACGACTTCGAAGAATTAAAATAGTTGGTTATTTCACGTAGTCCTATTTTACCGGCACCATGTTGCCTTCTCATGTCGTTTATTTATTGTGTGTTCGCGACAACGATGGCAAGTTCTGCGAATGGTGAAAGAGAAACATACTGGTGGGAACTCTCTCCGTCGGAGATCGATGACACCAGACACATTTGTTTAAAGCCGTCTTTTGGAACGAGGGCTCGAAGCGAAGACTCTGTGGTCTTCCCTTTAGCCGCGCTATTGCACGAACCTTAACGGTGCGGGCGGTGCAGCGGTTTAATGGTCGAAATAGCACAACTCGAGATTCCACCCGGAGACCTGGGGATCCCCCCTGCTTCAAGAGGGCGAACTGCTGCTGCTGCTGCTGGTGCTACTGGCGCCGCCGCTGCCGCCGCCGGGCGGTCGGTCGCCTGGCAACGGCGTGATTGAGCGCGGCGCCGCACAGTGACGACCTCCGTCCGGTGAGGCGGAGAAGGGCGGTCGGGGCGGTATCGCGGAAGGACGCGAGGCGCGAAGTGGCGGCGGCGTCGCCCGAGGTTCAGGGTCGAACCGCGCGTGAAAGCGACGCGCGGAGCGGCAGCATCCGGCTGCGCAGCGCCGCTGCGGCGGTCTGCGTGCGAATCGAAAACGTTTCCTGCCTAAAGACGGGAAGGTAGAGATTTTTGTTTACATTTTCCTTGACTGAACATTTCCCCTCATAAACATACGCCTGATTTTTAAAGTGGTATCCGTTTCGCTATATTACTTTAATATCCCCTTCCCCTCCTCTCTCATTTACGACAAATGAATTTGTCGCTTTATGGTATGTGTGAAGTCTGTGATTTTTTTCAAATGATTTTCAGTCTTCGTCTTCTTCTTCGTCTTCCGCTCTCTTTGCCCTGTTGTCTTATCACATATACGACTACTTCGTTTTCTCGGACTTGTTTTATTTTATCTTCCAATTGTCTTCTTTAAATTTATTCTAAAAAATTAAGCGCACTATTTTTGAGTCTTGAATGCCTCTACATCTTTTTTTACCAATGGCACGTCGTCTGTGAGGGTCGTTTCCTCGTTCATGTTTGGAATGCGGTGCCCGCTTCAATCCCGATTCCCTTTTCCCTCTCCGTTCACGCCGAATACGCGCCGCGCCGCAACGAGAGCGAGCGTCGGAGCGACCGCGAAGGCGCTGCCAGTAGGCCCGGCGCTTGCCTCCCTCCCGGCGGCGGCGCCTTCATTACCTCGCGCCAGACGGGGCGCCCGTAATTAGCTCGATTGTAAACATATTATCTGCATTCTTTCTCCGGCGTTGCAGCCGGCAACCTCGACTCGTTCCGACCCATCCCGACCCGTCCTCCATCACTTTTCCCAGCCAATCAAGGAAGCGATTGCAGCGCCTTCGCCGACGGAGCTTAGATTGTCTCTAAAGAAGCGAAGTAATTGCCTAAAGCACTTAGAAAGACGGCGCCGACTGAACACTTGTTCATTATAAGTTATCGATTGTACTGATTAGTGGGGATTTTATATTATTATTGATTTGTTGAAATTATTAAAGTGCTTCTTTATGGTGATGGAGGAAGTTTCGCCTAAGGCGATTTTTCCCCGAAGATAATTTAAAAAATATCAGTAATGAATCGTTAGGAGATCGTAGCGAAAGTGTTGAGAAAATATGGTGTGAAAAGCGCTAAACTAAAATTTCGTGCTTTTAATAAAGCCAGACATAGTTTTAATTGTACTTTGCATGTGAGAAAAATAAAATAAAAATGCTCGTTTTTGTTCGTTTACACACCTCGCTCAGAGCCTCGTAAAGCCACTTTGGTAAAAGGGCGCACATCGCCTTGAATTAGGCTCCGTTTCGCCGACGCCATTAGGAATCGGTAGCGCCGCCGTGGGAGCGGGAATTTGAGCGTGTCGCCCTGCGGTAATCGGGGCGCTCGTTAGAAAGGACGTCGCGCCGGGCCTCACTCCGCCCTGCCCGGCCCCGCCCCCTTCCGTGCCTGAGACGGGGATTCGAGGGCGGTGGGAAAATTTTAAATTCTAACGACGTTTGCGCGCGGGCTCCGTCCGCGCTGCACGTGTGGGACTTGCGTCCCGGGAATATACATACGCAGCGGCGGACGCTCCTGTTTTCGTGAAAACCAAAATGACTCTCACCTACGTTCTCTACTCAGGTGGATTCTTCCTGCAGTGTTGTGTGTTGTGTTATATTCCTGTATTAAAATACTGGGGAGAAAATGCATATTTTAAGTAGATTTTGTGATATGCAAGTATTTAATATTACCAGGAATTCCATGCGTCCTATTCTTTCACTTCCTTTATACACCCTGTCCATGTTAAGAATAAGAAAACGTCACACCCATGTAGCCACAATGATACAGTGTGGTGTAATTGTTTTGTTTAATTGCCACACCCTATCTACTGTTTGATACTGCAGTCTAATTCATGACATTTTCGTTGAGAAAGTTTATTTGTGAAATATGATGAATCGCGAATGTTTCCTGTGTACCTATGAACAAGTTTTGAAACATAAGAAAAAACTTCGTTTCCCGACTAGACTGTTGCTCTTTTACGACGTTGTGTGCAGCGTCGTGCTGTGCGTCCGATTATATAATTAGCGTCGTGGTAATTTTGTAAGGTCTTTTACCTGGTGACATGTAAAGAAGTTTGCCGAGATTATACCGGACGAACGTCGTTCTTGTAACTCGATCGTAATGAAGCGGTTATATAATTAACGTCAATTTTAAAGAGGCTGCGGTGTCCTTTGCGAAGGTTATTACGTCATAATTATGTTTCAGGCCACAGCATTAGTTTATGATGCATTACTTGCCCCAGCAAAGCATAAAGGGCGCGGTCTAGAAGGCAGGACGCGCAGCGGCGTTTTAAATCCTGCGAGATTCTTGTGTTCTGTATGATCTTTAACTGCACCGACACAGAACTGAATAATTCAGCCGGTCTACTATTCTCCGTACTGAAAGTACTTTTCGTGTTTTGAAATGTTATTGTAATATAGATTCCAGTTTACCCCACAAAAAGTCTTGGCTTACATCGCCGATTTTTCTTGTTTTTTCTCCATATCTTTGGCGTTACAAAGAAATAGCCAACTTATTAGAAAGCCGAACTCTCTATCTTCGTGTGGCACCTTGGGCAAGTATTTTCATATTCAAAAGTTTTATTTGTGCTTTTCGGATCATTGTAAAAAGAAGTTTTAAGAAAATGGAAGTTTCGGTAATTTGTAATACCGACTCTTCCATTAGAAAGTGTCGATTAAATTACTCGTTTAAAAATTATGTTTAATTAATGTCGTCCATTTCATGAATCGAGTCGTAACGATTAATGTAATTACCGGAGATAATAGTTATATTTGTAGCGTTTCACCAACGTACTTTTAGCTCCATTGAAACCATAAAAAACGTTTTTTTTTTAATCTTCCAGGGTATCTTAGATGGAACCGGCCAAAGATTGTGCCAATCGATATGTCTTAGAAAGAAGAATGAAATGAGCTGTTCCTCAACACTGGATGCTGGAATTCACCCTAGACGCTTTCTATTTGTTTACAAGAAACAAAAACCATATTTTCAGAGAAATTTTACAATCTTCTATTTGGATACGCAAAAAATGATGAGTTCCCCGCCACGAGACTGACTGTCGTCAAATGACACCTCATTTGCCTCGATCGGTGGACCGGAAAGGCTCTAACCGTGAGTGGCGCACCGACCAACAGATCGACGCAGGTTACTCGATCACTGTGTAAGGATAAGGTAGAAATTCGTAACCCTTACTTCGTCCGCGTGCTGCGCTAACTGCGATCGGAAGGCGATTCGTCGCTACGCGCGCAGGCCGCGCAGCTGCTCGCCGTCCCGCCAGGCGGCTGGTTGGACGTTCCCGCAACCGGCCGGCCGTGCTCGCCCAGGCTGCGTGCGTACTGCGCCTCGCTTCCGACGGCTCCCTAAAAAACAAATACAGCGGAGGCCTCGGCGTTGCCAACACGCCACACAAGAACAACTACAACTTCCTCCGGCTCGTGGCCCGCCTCCTGGG